ATGATATATATATGAGTGAGAGAGAGAGAGAGAGAGAGAGAGAGAGAGAGAGAGAGAGAGAGAGAGAGAGAGAGAGAGAGAGAGAGAGAGAGAGAGAGAGAGAGAGAGAGAGAGAGAGAGAGAGAGAGAGAGAGAGAGAGAGAGAGAGAGAGAGAGAGAGAGAGAGAGAGAGAGAGAGAGAGAGAGAGAGAGAGAGAGAGAGAGAGAGAGAGAGGGAGAGAGAAAGAAAGACAGAGAAAGAAAGAGAACAAAAAAAGAAAAGAAAATGAAAATAAAATATAAAGTTGCTACGCCTGGCCATCCGCAGTGTTACCAAACACAGTCGTAGGCCAGACCGTTTCAACGCCTATAGATCACGGTCGCTTAGCTTTATATTCACTCACTCTCAGGACAGCAGCAGACGGTGTACATCTGTACGGGCGTGGGCGGCACCGTACTGACAGAGGACAGGTGCCAGGCGCCCAAACCACCGCCACAAACGGTACATTGCAACCCACGACCCTGTCCGCCCGAGTGAGTTGGCAATACTGTTTTCGTTTTTTATTTTTTATTTTTATTTATTTTTATTTTTTTACTATCATCATTATTACTGCTATTATTAGTGTAGTTTCTGTTACCATTATTATTATTATCATTATAATCATCATCATTATCTTTTTCATTATCCTTTATTATTATTATTGTTATTATTATTATTATTATTATTATTATTATTATTATGGTTATTTTCATCATTACTACTACGACAACTACTATTACTACCATTATTATCATCACTGTTAGTATGATTTTTATTGATACTATTACTATGCTAATATACATATATTCTTTTGTATTGTTCGTGATTTTATAGTTCAGAAAATAACATTTGTATTTCAAGTAGATTCTGAGAGTTTTGAAATAAGTAGACCAGTAGACTTCCACATATGTACATTCTCTCTCTCTCTCTCTCTCTCTCTCTCTCTCTCTCTCTCTCTCTCTCTCTCTCTCTCTCTCTCTCTCTCTCTCTCTCTCTTCCTCTTTCCTTCCTCTCTCTCATAATCCTACCATCACCCTCCCTTACAGGTGGCAGTTAGGTGAATGGTCTCAGTGCTCCGTCACCTGCGGTACTGGCCTCATGAAAAGAACCTGGGCATGCGTCCAGGAGGTCACGCCTACCCTCATCCGAGCTGTACCACCTGCCACCTGTCCTTCACCTGCCCTGCAAGCGATTGTGCCCCTGACGCAGCCTTGTACTATGGCCCCGTGCACGCGCTGGGAGGTCACGGCGTGGAGTCAGGTGAGGATAGGAGGAATGGTTGAGTTACCCCTCCGGGAAGTCTTTGCTCTGATCGTTTTCTGTGATTAAGTTTGTGGGATATGAAATAACGAAGAATTCATCAGACTATCTACATTATGCTGTCTATCCTCCACATAAACACAACCTCGCACATCAACATCTACATATAAACATACAACCCAACGCCACTCACACAACCCACCACACACACACACAAAATAGAACACTAAAACCAACTCACAAAAAAAAATCCCTTATCATTTTTCTCATTCTTCAAATCCCAATTCACCTTCTTCTCCCTCTTCCTCTCCCCTTCCCTTGCCCAGTGCTCCGTGGAGTGTGGCACCGGCCTCAAGTCCCGCCAGGTCACGTGCCGAGCGGAGGGCCGGAGAGTGCCAGACGAGCAGTGCAACGTCCAGGAGAAACCACCTAAGCAAGAGCTGTGCCACGGTCACACCTGCGCGCACCACACCTGGTTCTACACGGACTGGTCGGAGGAGGTGGGTCAGGGTGGGTTGGGTGGGTTGGGTATGTGGGTAAGTGGGTGCATGATGGGTATCGGTAGAGCTGAGAGGAACAGATAGGGAAATATACATATTTTTTTGTTGCTTATGCATCTGTATGAGTGCGTGCTCGCTTCTATGCGTGTATGCCCCTGTCTATATATACATACACGTGTGCGCGGGTCTACGTACGTACACCATAACGACACAAAACCGAAAACCCAACTCCCTTTCCGTTCCCCCCACAGTGCACGGGCGGCTGCGAGGACGGCGTGCAGACCCGGCGCGTGTGGTGCTCTCCGGGCGTGAACTCCGTGGAGGGCGAGTGCGACGAGACGCAGCGGCCGGCGGAGAGTAGGCCCTGCGCGCGCGCCGACGCCTGCGCCGCCGCCTGGTTCACGGGGCCCTGGACGCCGGTAGGTGGGGGGAGGAAGGGGGAGAAAGAGAGAAAAATTATGTTTCTGTAATTCCTGTTTTCATTTTATTAACATTCATTATCTCTTATTTTATCTAATTATAGTTATTTGTTAATTTCGGTCAATATGTAGTATAAGGTAGTGGCAGAGTTGGATAATAAAACCTACATGAAATGATAGAAAAATGCAAACCAAGACAAACCCAACTCTGCCACTACCCTATTGTCCTTAATTTATAACAAATTTGACATCAATTAATGGATGAATAAAATCACCCTGTACCCCTTTCCACTCGAAACCAC